TAGAAGTGGAGCTGACATTAAGTAAGACTGTATCCAAGGACAAAAGAAAATGTAATCAAAATTATGCAGTTCTTCTCCAGTTCTGTTTAACTGCTCTTTCATCTGTATATTTATTTAATTCTCAGCTTTAATGTGGTGGCAAATTGTCATCTCCTCTCTTGTTCAGCTCTGATAGCAACCTGTACCCACCGCTTTCCTAGAAACTCCAGAAAACATCTCACTGCATCCTATTATCTCTGACCAAATAATTGTACACCTCTGAACCTGTCTCAATGGCCTGGGAGATGTGTTGCCTTCATTGATTGATGATTTGGTTTTTCTAGAGTCAAATGAATTGAGAGTGGTGGAAGGGATGGGTCCAAGAAGAAATTTAAGGTATTATCTGCAGATATGGGGGTAAATAGATACTGGGTGATTTGGGGGAAAAAAAGGATTTTAAAAAAAGTCACCTTTCATGGCTGAGCTGGAACCAGAATTGTCAAATCGTGACATCAATCAGTAATCCTTTTCTCTACCCATTTTACTGCCTGGAATTAGTGTCCCTCAACAGCTATGTAATAAATGCTTTCAATTATATTTGGATTCAGTTTTATTGAATTTCTTTTTTAGGTTAATTTAGGGCTTTTGAGGGAAAACCTCTACCTTTTCAATTCTAGTACCTGGCTCAATCTGATTCCTGTTATTATTGGAGTTCCTGCATAGTAATATTAGTCATCGCATTACAAAACAGAGATGAAAGGAAAGCAGGGATTCTTACCTAGTTTTGGAGCCAACAGGTCTATGTGAACAAAATTCAGCAGAGATTTATCAGAAGAAGCCATAACACATTAAATTAGTCAATAATCAAATGTTTATTGAGTGTTTGGTATATAAGTAACTTCTAGTTGCTGTGGTGGAAAAACAGCAGACGTAGTCCACGTCTTCAGGGAAACAAAACATATGTATGTACAGTACACAGCATTTATATTTTTAGTACAGTAGACAGAGCACTACACTTGTGCCCAAATGTTACATTTCCAGAGTCACAGCTCTTTTTTTGCAAATCTATGTGATCAGAGTGTCAGATTCTTTACCTTAAAATGTAGTAAATAAAGAGATAGATGAGCTATGCACAAAATGACATCATAAATTGTCAAGCCCTACATACATACATTATCATAAAAACAGTACAGTGGCAAAATCCCAAGGGCCATGACAGTGCTGAAAACTAAGTCTTTGTGGACTGAGAAACATTTCATGAGACAATTTAGAAAATAGAATTTAAATAAGTGGAAAGGATTATAAATGACCAGACTGCATGACTGTAGGGAAAAAAATGTAGTATACATGCCTCACACCCTAAACCAGGACAAAGCTAAATGGCGGAAGGATTTAAATGAAGAACGAAAAAAACCCATATAAATTCTAAAAGAAAATATGGTACATTTCTTTCATTACCTTGAGGTTAGGAGAATCTTTCTGAGTCTCCAAATCTAGAGTCATTATAGAAAAGACTGATTCAATTCCACCACAGAAAAAAAGAACTTCTTACCTGAAAATACAACACAGGCCAAGTCAAAAGACAACAAACTGGGAAAGAAATACCAGCTCAAATCTCAGGCAAACGGTGACGCCCCCTACTGTATAAAGAATTCTTAGAAATTGATTTTTTAAATGTCATAGAAAAAATCCAAGGGATATAAATAGACATTTATTAAATATGAAGCAAATTGCTATTAAATATGTGAAAAATTTTTAAACTTGAAAAATCCTTAAGTGCATTCATAAGAAGTGCAAATTAAAAGTATATATACTGATATGCCATTTTTTACCAAAGAGAATTAAAAAAATCCAAATGTTTAATAACATTCTCTATTAGTTGTGGGGTAAAAAATTCATATATTTCTGGAAAGAGCATGAATTGGTATAACCCTTATAGATGGCAATTTTGTAATATTTATCAAAATGCAAAAATATATGCCTTTTGACTCAGAAATTCCATTTTGGGTAATTAATCCTATATGTTAGCACAAGAACAATATGATGTATGTTCTATTTTAGTCAGGCTACATTGTTTATTACAGTAAAACATAGTAAACAATTGAAATGTCTATCCATAGAGGACTGTCAAAGTATATCTATTCATTCAGTGGAATACTATTTGTGTAAAAATGGAGGGAGGGAAAGAATATATTTTATTGTATATACGAAAGAAACTATATGGCTGCAAAAATGACTATGGACCTTTAGAGCTAAAAGGGTGGCAATTGAGGGGAGGGGGCGTGTTGAGACCTAGTAAGATGAAAAGGAACACTTTAGGGTATAATTTTAATACTTTATGGCTTTGGGACCAGGTGAACATACTGTTTATTAAACTTTTTAATAAAAAAAAGAAATTCCTTTCAAATTATAGCAAGGGCATTAAAATCTTCAGAAATTCTCATAGATTAATTTTGTCTCCTAATTTCATTTTTTCAGCCTCTTATACTATAGAAAAATAACAAAAAATTTATTCTTTTATGAAGTGTCCTTTACAAACATTCTAAATGTTCTAGTGATCATCGTTTTTTTCAATGTTCTTATCTAGATCCCAAAGTAAAGCAACCCATGCTAATCAGGTTATTAGATTATAAGAGTTATTCATTGTTTGTAGAAGTCAGAGTTCACAAAGCTTTTTCAAGATCAGGTAATTTTCTCTTTGGAAAGTTAGGCATTCTATTAAATGTTACACTATATAAGATATTTTCATGTATAACATGTAATAAGCATTAGTTATGATAAATAATTCTGTTTCCCTTTTCAAACCCTTGGAATAGGCTGTTTCTCAATAAATACTCACTTTCAGGATAATCTAGCATTGAGTCCAGCATTGAGACATATGTTTCTTTATTTCTAAGTTATTAGCTTGAAACTCATAGAAGTTAATAATGGAAGAATCATCATTCTTTTTAAATATCTTATATTAATTTAACTGTGCTCAGATAATAAAGGACTTCACAATGTCAAAAACCAGTAGATTTAACTAAGTGATATGGAGGGAAAATAAGTTTTTGCATCCCTAGAAGACAGATTTAATTAAATGTATTTTGAAACAAACAAGGAATTTTATTACTAGGGATCAGAGAAAAACAGACATGCAGGTGATGAGATTATTCCAGGATGAATCTGGTTTGGGGTAAAAACAACTTTCCAAGAAATGTAGAAAAACCTAGGTGGTTTTCCCTTGGGGAAAAAAATCGCTCAGAAGGTGGTGACAATTCACTTCCCAGGTTATCTCTTGTTTGTTCTACTGACCTGGTGTTTGGCTGCCGGCATCACAAAACACTGATGGTTGCTGGGCAGATCCTTTTAGAAGCGCAGCACTAGACGCTGCCTGGAAATACTGACTCCCACCTGACACCAGGCAGCTGTGCTTTCAAGTCATGCTGAAGCCTGGAATGGTCATTTCTAATCAGCTACGTAATTTTGAGAACAATGCACGAGATATTTTTAGCAGTGACAAAAATAACACACATAGATTAGCCAAGGGCTTTGCAAGGAGACATCGCCAGCTGCCCACTTAAAATTTAACAATTTATTATACTTTGTTTCTATCCCTAATATTAGCGTGCAGTTGGGGATGGAAGAGAAGGTTGCTGGCGCTAGTACAGCGCTTGACACAAGCAGGCTTTTAATGACTATAAGTTCAACTGCACATTAAGAGAACATATTTTGATATTAAAATGCCTATGGCAAACCTACAAAATTATACTTAGGTAATACCTGTATAGATATGTAAAAAGATTTTTTTTCTGTATGTTAATTTTCAATATGTTGCAAGCTCAATAATGTATTTACCTATCATCTTAAAATTAAATGACTTCTAAATACTTTCCTCGGCTGCCTCAACCTGTATACTAAATAGCAAGGTCATTTGCATTTTAATAATAAAAACATGTATTTGGACACCCAAAACCCTGTTGAAGATAAAAACAGAATCTACTGAGAAATTGATGTTATTTTAATTTATGAACATTGAGGATGGAATAAGGGAAATGACATCCTGTTTCAAGTGGACTAATAGAAAACTCGGAGTAAATTTAGAGGCATATTCGTACTACTAGGAGTTTTAGGTGAGTGAGTATCCAGTTTTAACCTTCTTCCTGGATATGTTTTATCCTTGTTAATGTTATTTTTTTTATCCCTACTTCAGAATTGTGCTACCTTCTCATTATTCTAAGGATAATTGTAAACAGTTTGAAATATTATCTAAAAAATGTAGACAGTAAGTCAATAAAACTATACAAAAAGCAGCAGCAAGCATAACCTCCAGCCTTTTATAGAGTGTTATGGTCCAAACACTGTGCTAGGGATTGAGGCTCAAGGATGAAAACAACACAAGTCCACCTTCATCAGGATTGGTATGGAGGAGAAACATATGCAAACACAGAAAATTATTATATGAGGAGATATGACAAATGTAGTCATAAATACACACAGGCATTAAAGGAGAATTAAGGAGAAGGATCTAACATAACCTAGGAGGACGGAGCTTAAGAAACCTTTGGTCTAGATGCCACCTAATTGAGTCATAGAAGATGAGAGAGGAATCGGCCAGGTATAGAGAGAGCGACACACAGACTGTTCCTGGCAGAGGAGACAATGTCAGCACAGGAAGTGCAGCAGCCCACAGCATGGTGTGGGGGCTTGGATGTCACTGGAGCATCTGGGTTTGGTTCTGAGGGTTAGATGATAAGGCTGGAGCGGGTGGCAGGGGCCCACTTACACAGAGGTTATTTGCTAGACAAAGTTGTGGTTGTGCAACAGTACATGGGGGCACCTCAAAAGCTACAACAGCGTAAATGCTGACAATATTAGACTACTTAAATAGTTATGATTTTCCAGCTTGTTATATTTCTGAACAATATACTAATAATAAACTCTTAAGGTATTCATTGATATATATATTTTATTAGAAAACATAATCTCTTTCCTCCTCTTTCTCAATTCCTTAACCTGAGGATTGACTGCTATGATACTATTATATATGGAGATGCTTGATTTAGGACAGAAATGCTTAAGTTCCAGAAGGAAGGGATTTCCCTGGGAAGGCAGAACCTTTGGTCCTGACAAGGTATATTCAGCCTTCTTACATGCTAGGGGGAAGGTGAGAAAGCCTGGAAATGTCTCTGCATTGTTCATTCCCTTCTTTTTTTCCTTCATCGAATCCTTTCCAAATCTTCTATCTTTTCCCTTATAAGAAACTTCCATCATTTATTCAACTGTGACATTACAACATTTTATTGATGCTTTCTTTTAGGTACCTAAATATGATGAATTCTGCCTATGCCTCCAGAAACAGATTTGCTGACTCATGAATCTCATCATTAATTTTGACTGAGTGCCTACTGTGTGCTGGGCAAGGCGATAGCTTTCAGAGAAAGAGTGGAAGGCAAGGAGACATTAAGCCCAATGGGGAAAGAGACATTTGTCAAACAACCATGCAATGAGGTATATGTAATTACACACTGTACTGAGTTTATGAGGGGAAAGTACAGGGTGCTAATAAGAAACTTTAGTAGGCAAACCTGCCCTGTTTTGGGGAACCACAGAAGGCTTCCCTCTGGGAGGGCTACGTTTGATCTGAAGGTGAAAAAGTGGAAGAGCATTCAAAGCGGAATACACAGCATGTGCAAAAGCTATGAGGCAGGAAGGATCATGGTCTGTTCAAGAAACTGAAAGAAAGCCCAATGTGGTTGAGGTTCAGAGGGAAAAGAAAGGGCGAGTAAAGAAGAAGCTACAGACACAAACGAGTGCTCTTTTCTTCAAGATCTGGTAAGCCAGGTAAAAAGGTCTTAATCCTTAGCCAAGAGAATTTGGAGGCAATTGGGTATTTGAGTATAACTTGATCAGATTTGCATTTTTCAAAAAGCACTTTAGTTCTCAAGTGGCAAGAACGAATCCATGGAAACCATTGTCCAGATCAGGCAAGAGATGATTGCAATTTATGCTAAAGGGTTAGTGGTGGTGGAGAGGTAGAGAAACAGGACAATCCTAGAGATATTTACAAGGCTAAAATGGTATGACTTAGGTGAAACAAGTGGTGGTTAGGCCACAGTGGTTAAGAGCATAGATTCTGGAGACAGACTGCCTAGTGTAAATCATGGTTCTGACCCTTGTTAGCCATGTGACTTTGAACAACAAGCAAACTGCTTGTTTCATTAACCTTAGCCTCAGTTTTGTTATCTGTATAATGGGCATAATGTTGGTACTTCCCTCTCAGGGTTGTTGTGAGGACTAAATACTCAGTAGACACAAAGCACCTAGTGCATTGCCTGGCACACGTGAGTGCTTTGGAATGTTGAATGCCAGTAAATTGGATATGGGGAATGTAGATGGAGAAGAAGGAGTAGTCAAAGAGGATTCTGAGAAATGACATTCATTGTATTCAAACATGGCTGAAATCAGTATAGAATTAATCTTTTAAATGCA